TATATATATATATATATATATATATATATATATATATATATATATATATATATATATATATATATACATATATATATTGACGACTATCGATTAAATCGCTAACTACATATCATATACTCGAAAAACTGTGATATTCGAACGATTTGCCGCATATATCACAACGAACGCAAATGACGAATGAAATGTTACGGATACTTCTCGATAAAAGGAAAAGGAAAAGGAAAAGGAAAAGGAAAAAAAAAAAAAAGAAAGGAGAAAGATACTCTTTGCTACACCGTAAATGCTACACCATAGAATTTCGATTAGGGAAACAAAAATCAAACCTCGACATGGTAGAGGCTCTTCGGATCGAGGACACTTTGTAAACATAATCTCCAGATCTTTTACTAATTGCATTCACACGTTTGATATTACATATCCTTGCCTGGATTATCGATACTCGCGGGTCTTGGTTGCAGCTGACAGGATTCACGAATGAATTACGACTTCGAAGCTGAAACAGCGCGATCCATCGACACGGGCGCGCCGTTTAACTCTCGAATTTGTATCTCGTTCGTCTCGTTAACAACGGAACGGTAGACTCTCCCGCGTCTTTTTTTCTTTCTCGCTGGGAGAAACAAACATAGATCGGCCGAAAGACACGGGGAAAGCTTATACCAGATCTTTCTTAGGTGCCCGTAGAAATTTTAGAGTGACGACGAGTAGCGTGATTCGGCATCGTAGTACAAAACGAAAAATAAAAGAAAAAAAAAACGTATAGTCAATATACGCTTGTTGCATACAGACAATAGCTAGGAAGATTGCGCAGGCGCGATCTTATTAACGTAGATTTTTAAGAATCCGACGGCGTATGACTTATTTGAGATACGTCCCTTCGTACTCGCTGAAACAAAAACGTGGAACAAGAATACCCTTTAAATATAAGACAAACGAACGAACGAACAAACGAGAAATAAATAAATAAATAAATAAAAAAAAAAAAAGAACTCGCGATTTTACTGTGATCCCCACGTGTATTATGAAAACAATACGTGTGCGATTGAGCGCGGCCGGAAGGACCGCGCGTGACTGCGTGACTCGATTACGTGAGGTGTGATTGGTTTCGCCCCATTAAGGAAGGCCGCCGTTAAATAAAGATTCTTTGCCTGCACAAGTTTGTTTACGGGAATACTCTCTTGCTCCCATTGTAGGAGTAAACGCCTCGTTCAGGGTAACTTTGCGATCGTATCTGGAAATCGAGTTCTATCCGCGGATCCGATCGCGAGATCCTGACAATTTCAGTCAGACAAACAATGACATTGTACGATACATTGATACGTTGCAAATACGATAGGATTTATTATATCATGTACAACGAATAATAACGAAGTACTAATAAATCACTTCTAATATTACATCATATAAACTATAAACTGTACCATCACAGTCTTTTCCTTTTCCTTTTTCTTTTTCTTTTTCTTTTTTAATTTTAAGTTTGTGTAATTAGATATTAGCCTCTTGGTCCTCTGAATCTTCGTCTACCATCAATCTAAAAAGAAACAAAAGATAAAAATAATAATAAGAAATAATAGAAAACTATTCGAGTAGGAGCAAACATTTCAGTATAAAATATATGTTTATTTTATAAAAGTCTACTTTTCATGACTCCTCTAGAAATATGAGTTTTAAAGACATCATTATCACTAGAGCATATTATACTGTATATATTTTACTACATCAAAATATGCAGCTAAAAATAGAAAAGTATGTAGTATATAAAAAAATATCAAAGCAATTGTTATCAAGTATGAAAGAACTGATACTTACAATTGAATGTTTGCAATCAAAAAATGATTGTCGCAACAGATAACATTCATCAGGAACAGACGGATGCCTGGTTTTAAGACATTCTTTGGGTGTTAGTCTTTCCTGTGATAAAATAAAGATTTCATTTTTTAAATATTTCTCAACATTTTGATATACTACAAATGAAGGTTATGACGCTCAGTTTCATTACGCACTATTTTGCAACAGTCCGTTTGCAACAAACATATTTTTAACTTCGCACGTAAATGAGCACACTTAGTTTTATCCTTCAAAGTTCTAACTTCTTCTTCGTATTCAGCCATAACGTAAAAAACATACAACACAACACACACCAATATAGCATTTGTAACAGAAACTTAACCTAACCTTTCTCGATTACAATTGTGCGTGTACAATATGTGCATGATCTGTGCAATAGGTTAGGTTCTGATCCGACGCAAGATTTGGATAGTATTTCTATTTAGAAATGTCATTCAAATTTGATTCTTGCATATGACGGACAATAAAAGACAGTAAGGAAAATTTGTAGAAAAGGAGAAAGTGCGAGGTAATAGACAATGTTCCTGATCATTAGATTATCGTTTAACATCATATACAACATGTTGTATATTTGGAAGATATAACTAAAATGTTTTCTTTCGGGATATTTTTTTAATTACATTTTGTTCTTGTGCAACGTTACATTCGTATTGTGGTAAAGCAATTTCTTTCAGACAAATGGTTTATCAACGTGGAAATCAGAGGGATGGTTCCCCACATTATGTCTTTTTATACTCGGATGATGAAAATAGCGGAGATGAAGAAAGTATCTCTTTGCAACAGCGTACTAAGCTTACATCATTACCACGTAAAGTGGAAGTGATAAATGTTCCGTTGAAATCAGAAGATACGTTACAAGCATTGGCATTACGGTATAGATGCACGGTAAGTATTGGAAGAAAAAGGAAGAAAAGAATTAAAATCTAGAATAAATTGCAATGAATTCAAGTAAGTTGCATGTATTTTTAGATCTCTGAACTGAAAAGAATCAACAAGATTCACAAAGAAAATGAAATACATGCAAGACGATTCATCAAAGTACCTGTACAACCATTTTCTCTTCTGACTGAAACTTTAGAACAAGATCCTAGTGGGCAGGTAAACAGAAGCGAAGTAAGTACATCCAGTCCCGGTGAAGGGACAGATAGTACAGTAACAAATGATCCACTATTAAATGTGATAAAAAGTCCTGTTGTGGTTGAATTACCAAAGACAGAAATTAATACAATTATATTAAACTCAGTTTGCGAACCCTTGTCGTCATACAACAATAGTAACTCCTTAGACATTACCAGTTCAGAGTGTGACCAATTACTTACTCCAACAGAGAGTAATACAGAAAACTCTCATTTAACAGAAACATTTAGATGTTCTGGTGATGACTGTGGAATATCTTGGACACAGCTTCTTGGATTTTCCTTGTTACTAGGCTTTGCGGGACCTATCATATATATACTTTACATAACTGAGTTTTCATCTAAAACTCATTCAGTTGCTAATCATTAGTTATATAATATCATTGTTGCAATAAGTACAACTTATTGTACTATAAATATTTGCAACAATTGCAACTGCAGCTTGCAATAACAATCAATTGATGACTATGCTATTTCAAACGAGTGAGATTATATTAAAAAATAAAAATTTAGAATTTTAATTCATATGCCATTACATTACTGAAAAAATATGATACTTTGTAAAGAAAGAACGATATTATTTTTTGACACTTGAAATATATAAATAAAATATATTTTTCAAGTAAATGACATACATATAAGAGAAAATCAGCAAATAGCATCGAACAGCACGAATATCTAGTGCCTTTGTAATTGATTATTTAATGAATTTTTGAATAATTGTACAAACATTGTAAAATAGGAATCGCCAAAGCTATTTCTAAAGATCTTGTACAAAAATATTAATGGATATCATATATCCGTTTTATATTTTGACGATTCACGTGATATGAAATTATTTGTTTTTATCTTATATGTTATTTGGAAAAAAAATGTTGATATTATAATTGACATACTTAGATATTGCATATTGACGATAAAGAATTCTGTTCTCATGACAATAAGCGTGTTACTAAGCAGCTTCGGAATTATGTAAAATATTATTTTGATAAAATGTTTTTCTTGTTGAAAAATTATAAATATATTTATAAAAATATATTTTTTGACACTTATATGTCTTAATTTATAACTTTTTGAAAGTTCGTTGGAAATTTACAACATAAAAATATCTACAAATCAAATGTTCTGTATGAAATGTTTTTATTTATTAATTTGTAACATTATAAGATACAAATCGAGGTGGTAATTTTCCTTTCCTTTCCGCTGTTGTTCCTAAGTGTCAACCGTTCCTATAAAACATAAAATAAGAATAAAATACCGAATTTTTAGTTTAAAACTACACTGAAATTGAATTTAAAAAATATTCAGAATATAATTTAGAGTATCATTCAACTTAGTATATTCAGTAGACCGTCGTTAGTTTCATCATGCTATATTTTCATTATTATCTTATATTTTTTTATTAACCTAAAAAAAATAATACTAACCGCAGATCATAAATTTTATAACTTTAAAATTTCTTGAAACTTTTTTTAGAGCCCGTTCCTTTAGAAACCTTTAGGACATTAAATCTGACTGTTTTGCTGAGAGGTCTGCATTCTCCAATTGTTACTACATCACCAATTTCTACATCCCTGTAATAAACAACAAAAGCAATGTGAACAAAATTTTTTTGCTTATAATAAATACATAATTTATTTTTTTTTTATCAGAAAACGAAATTACTTCAAATAAAACAATTCAGCAGACCGTCGTTAGTATCATCATATACTTTTAATGAGTAATATGTAAAATTATTGAAAGGTATGTACAAAACTGACCTAAAACATGGACTCAGATGGACACTCATATTGCGATGACGCTTTTCAAAACGGTTGTACTTTCGAATGTAATGTAGGTAATCCCTACGTATGACAATAGTCCTTTGCATTTTCATCTTCTGTACTACTCCGGTAAGAATGCGACCTCTGATAGAAATGTTACCAGTAAACGGACATTTCTTGTCAATGTAGGTTCCTTCCAAAGCCTAGAGAATCATATTAAAAAAGAAATTATAACGCATTTGTTAAATATTATTAATCTTCATGTTTTTTCTTTTTTACTGAAATTGAACAGTTACCTCACGTGGTGTTTTGAAACCGAGACCTACATTGCGGCTATACCGCATCGGCTTCCTCCTTTTTGGGCCGAGACCTTTCTTGCGGTTAAGAAAGATCGTAGGTTGCTTCTGGAACGCACGCTCGCTCTAAAAAGTATAAAATACATTTATCATTACGCATAAGAAATACTGATTATATCATGTATGCACAAATAATCCGAATAATCTAACCACGTGCAGCTATTATATTATTAACCTATCCATAACATTTTTAGTAAGCCAATTTTTTGCTCCAGTTATAAACTATGACGGTAAAATTAATTACATGATAATCATATTTAATAAATAAAAATGTAGACGTAAAAAATAAACATATTGTTACTATTAACATTGAATACGTACCTGATCAGCCATCTTGCTATACTGAAAGAACGATCGAATCCGAAAGGACAACCAACGATGCGTTATGCTGCTGTATTTCCAGTTGTACCAACATTAGGAAGTAACTAGTCGAACATTGTTTCTTTATACTATTTGCAAATGGTAAATACGATAACATTTCGAATATTTCAGATAATATTTCTTTTTTTCTGAAACAAAATCAATCAGTATCTTACACAATTTTTATCATTACAGAAATATTGTTTTCAACGTATGAAATTAAATCCGGATGATGCAACGATCAATCGATCAATCGAACGATAGAAATCGAAACCCTTACAAGTTGCAACTTGTTGCAGATCGGAGTGGTCAACCGTGAAGATTGGTTTTGTTTTTTGTTTGGTGGTTGTGCGTGGATCGTAGATAATTCAATTTGTTCGAGTTGATGCGTAAAGAGGCATGTCGTCCAGTACCGCATTCCAGTTTCTAGCCAACATTCGATCAATATCCAAAGGGACTGGTACTTTGTAAGTATCTATTCTAAAAATGTATTTACTGTATTGCGGATATATAAAAGATATATGGAATTTATGTAATACTCAAAAATATACGGAATATCGAGAGTAAAGTATAAATTATAATATTTAGCAGATGAAAGAAGCTTTTATTCAAATTTTATTTTGTCAAGTGACAACTATGAATTTCCATAAAAATCTTCAGTCTAGTTAGCAACTATGGATTTCCATAAAAATCTGTCATCATCCCATGATGAAAATTTTCTAATTCTTTGTAATCAGGCAAATTAATGGGATTTATTGAATCGTTAGTATCATTTGCACTTGTATTTTGCTAAATATTTTACGCGCCAAGTCGTTTCGTTTTTCTTAGTTTTGGTTTAAATCTTACACCGCCAGCTGGCAGCACCATGCTGTTTGAACAGAGAATCGCGCAATCGCGCGCGGAATTAAAACTGTTTCAAACATGAAAAGAACGATTTTATAGATTTACAATGGTTTAGAGTTGAGAATTTGACTTTCATAAAATATATGAATAATACGTTGTGTGTTCTTTATTGTATTACATCACTTCTTTCTATTTCTTGCACTTCAATTCCTTGATTTTTTTTTTTTTATATAAATGTTGACTTTAGAAACCTATAGATAAATAGATATTAATTGTAATAAATGTAATTATAATTACTATTTAATAATAATACAGTAGTGATTTATCAAAACCTTGAAATCATTCACCTTGAATAAAATCTTCACCAACTCCATATTTTACTAGCGAACAATCACTTGTTTTTGTCGTTAGAAACAAGGGCACATGTTCATATACAGTTTCTATTGCTTTCTTAACAATACCATCAGAAAATGTAGCTGACTTGTGACTGGAAATCGGAACCAGCTCGTACTCCCATTATCGCGTCACACATCGTTGCCATTGTGGGAATCGATCGAAACAATTGCGGTGTCTTTCCTTAGACTGTCCGCATGTTGTCACGCTTTCGTTCATCGATTACACCTTAGTTACCATTTTATGGTGAATGCGGTGAACGGCAAACCGCGATCCAACTAATTTTCCCCGTTTCCATTTCATTGTTGCGTTTCATACAAATGACCGTAGTTCGTTTAACGATCCTCGGATAATGTGAAATGATAGTTATTTCGATTGGCACACTTGAGTCACGGCTTCGTTCTAGATTTATTACTTAGGATCCTATATACCGAGTTGATTCTCAGAGACGAGTGAAGATCGGTCGTGTTTTAAACTCAAATTCAGATTGAAACTCGAATTTTAGATTTTAGTTTCTCAAATGCGAATTTTAAGCACTCGGTGACACTTGTCAATTCGAAATTGAACGTCTAATTGAATCTAAAACAAAATGGAATTAGATCATGTTATTTTTTAAACCAAAAATAATCAGCGTAAAAATGACTGAGATTAAGAGCGTAAATATTATGAGCATAAAGATGAAAAAATGGAAAATTTTGTATTTGTATGTACTTATAATATTTACTCCATAATATTATTATAATATACTTACTCCTTATAATTTTTACTCCATATTTACACTTTTATATGTGATACACGTTACTATATGCTCGTCTGTGTACATACGCGAATGTTCTTCATAATTAAAAAAGTAAAATTTTAAAAATGCCGCATGATTATCTGGTCAGTTTGTTGAGTTGACTACACACGTTTGAATTTTGCGCGCCATTTTGTGTAAGAATAAGGGTATTGCGTCAGCCAATAGTAGCTAAGGGAGAATTTGGCGCGAAGAACTGTCAATCGAGTCTTGGCAAGCGTTGTGTTGTGTCAATTTGTGTGATGTGTGTGATTTTCACTATTGCGTAGCATATTCATTATTGTATTACCTTCTACAGTCTACTATTAGGTTTGTTTAATTAATATGTTCTCATTTAACAATTTCTTAAGTATTATCATAATGATATTAAGTAGTTTCTCGAACTTTACTTATTCGGCTTTTTTTTTGGTTATGTTAGACATTGGTAATTTGCGTTATGAGATAGACGTTAAGCTTAATTACTGCCTCATTTTGATATTATTGGCTTTGATTTTAAACATTAATCTTAAATCTTTGGTTGTCTTTTGTGCAGATTGAGTGATTTCGAAGGAATCATGTTCGTGAAACTGAACGACGAGCGCTGTAATAATTGGATCACTTCGATGACTTTCCTCACTTCAAGGCAGACGTATGTACTCATTTACATAATTATTTTATTATATTATTTGTGTTATATTTGAAACGTTTATTTTTGATTATCAATGCGTTATGCAACTAATGTGCATGTTGCAAAGTAAATATATGTACATACATTTATTGAGAATACATTATGCTTATGTTTCATAGTACATATAAATTCTATTGAAAGAACTTAGATGAAATTAGGTTAAAAAGATCACATTTCTTGTTCGTATGTATCAAATTATTTCTTTGTTTCAATTTATATTATAGAATAGAATTATATTTATACTGTAGAGTAGAATATTAAATACTTAAACAAGATACATTTTTAATACATTTTTGTATTAATAGTTATACAAGGTACAGTTTTAATACATTGCTTGATGTAGATTCATATCTCACATTAAATTTAAGCACGAAAAAAGAATAATTTTATGTGTACTATGATGAATGAATAATTATGAATATATGATTTTATGAATTATATTATGTGTGCTCTTTGCAGTAACATTATCGTACTCCTATCAGCAACTTTTATTTTTTAATTGTTAATTTAAAAATTTAAAAATATATTCCATTTTTGATTTATTATTCAAATTTATATGGAATGAATACATTTCCATAACTCTTCTGGTTACGCATTTGTTTTCTTTTTTAATATCCTCCATCACCAATGTGTTTGTTGCCATAAATATCGTTGACATTTATAATTTTTATAAACTATTATTTATAATTATCATAATCGTTGTTTTATTTCTTTATTAAATTTAAATTAGATTTATTACTACTGTTTTCTACAAATTTAGTTCTAACCCAAACTACTGTTATATACATACCGATTCAGTTGTTGAATTACTTTCAAAACATAAGACAGAGGAAAATTTAAATCTAGGATCCTCATCTGTGATTGAAAAATCTCTTCGTACAAACTAAAAATATAGAAATTGATACCAACTGGAGAAGAATTCGAAGACGTTTAATCAATGGTAGAGCATGACGAATCGAGGATGATACTCGCGGTATGGCTGACAGATTGATTATCCTTGAACCATGGCCCGGATCCAAACACACGTAATAGTCGTAGAATGTATCATTATGAGGAAGAATCCGACGAATTTCCTCATGCTTAACGAATACAACAGACGTATTATACGATGACGTGTGTTTCGACAGACGCTCGTTACTTACCATTCTCACTCAATCGAACGATAATCAATCTATCTGACGAAGCTCACCGTTTTTTGAAAGGCAACAGCGTCATGTGTTCGATAGGCCAAAAAAAAAAAGCATCACACTGTCGTCTATTTTTTTTCTTATTCTCGCCGTGCTAATCCTGTTTTTCACGAACGAATGTGTTCTAAAGTGTTTCGCGGTTAGTTCTTGCAAGTCACGAAATCGTTGGTAACAGGGCAAAGAACTCGCCTACTTGGCTCGCTCCTTCGGAAACACTCCGTGCAGCAAGCCGAGTACGAAATAGATGAGTTTTCGTTTGCTTTACGCGGATTCGTCGACCTTGATCGTTTCGAATAAAAGGAATGATTGTGTATTTTGTTGGTCGCTACGTATTACGTAGATGAATATTGTGTAACATCTTTTCTTCTTCCTCGTCGGGTTCAAGTTCTCGCGGCTCGGTGAAAAGATGAACGTGCCCGCAGGGTATGCAAATCCCTCGCGATGGCCACGACTCTCGTCAAATATTTCGGATGATAGATTAGCATTGGCCTGTCTTTCGAACACGACCGTGACTGCATCGTTCTTCCTGGAAATTCCGGCGTTCGAACGCTTCGGAGAATTTTCTAGTAGATTCGAATTCCAATAACGAGCGTGGTACCCTTGGCTGGTAGTTTCGCCATAAGAGACCATCAGATTAACGCCGGCACGTACTCGGACACGGGTACACTTTACTTATGGTAAAAGTTACCTTGTACATGTTCCCGGTACAGTAGAGGTATCGTGCACTTTCGAAAATGGTTAGACTGGTAGTCTGCTATCTGGATGCGAAGGAAGATTTGAAAATTCGCTACTTGGAGCCCTTGCGTGCTGTGTAACTTGGCTCGCACGAAGATCGCTTGAATTTAAATAATTCGATGGCAATTGTTTGACGAAGCTTTAATTTCACTTCACCAAGCGAAATATCTCACCAATGCAGTTATTTATAATGCTATTTATAACACTTTGTTTCGGATGAGATACCATCTGTTTTTTTTTTTTTTTTTTCCATTAGAATTCGAATCTAAGACACTGAACATTGTAAAGAATTAACAACGTTAAATGAAGAAAATGTTTCGTTTTTATGAGCAAATGATTCGTTTCCTAGTACGTGAAATAAGTTAAATAGTATTTACTTCGAAAGAATTAAGACATTCGCGGTCGATATGCTTTTATTTTCAAGCAAACTGTTTAATAGTGAAGCTCGTTTATCGCCTTCTGGTGAGTTAGAAATCACGCG